CACACCAAACGGCACTATACCTATACAACATCAAAGGGAATTATTCATGAGAAGTTCTAAAACAGCCCTATATCGTCACATCGGGCTTGACCACGGAGTAAAATCTTCCTCGCATAAGTATCAGCAACCCTGCATACTGAATTGGTTTTCTCGTATTAAACATTATGTTTCCATGTATTGATATTATGCATGTAGCTACATTGTTTTGGTCAGCTGATTATTAAGACAGTACACATAACGGCACGGCTCGCACCTTGAGTGCATACACTCCATGGAAGTCTGTAGCATGACAGATCGCATGAAATGTACACAACGATCATTATAAGGATCCATGCCCATATAGCCCTACTTCACTTAACTCATTGCGGACGGATGTCACAGCGTATGCTGACAGGAATTACCGCAACCGCCGGCCGTACGGACGGCTTTGTCACAGACGCTGTGACAGCAAACGCTTGCGTTTACTTAGCTCTCGCGCGTCGCTTTGAGAAATGGCAACAGCCAACACAACGCCTCAAGGTACACCCAACTACAAATGGGGAACCCTCCTGGCCCCTGGAGTGCTTTAGCACGTGGGCGGGCATTCTTGTGGCGGCCAAAGAACGCAACACCCGTGTTTATACACGCAACTTGAGAGTGACCACAAAAAATTTTTTGACATCAGGTATAGTGATACAAAGACTTTAGCTAACGCTATTTATGATTGAAAAGGCTAGGAAATAAGCTTAGAACGCTGATCACGAGCATTTGTGACTGTCGTTCAGCGCTTTTCATGCTCCAACTGACTTCCATGTCTTGTATGCACCTGCAAGAGACGGCAAAAGAGTAAACTCGACAGAGTAGCGTAGGTATTGATATTTAGGACACATGCAAGTACTCTTGTATGACTGTGCTAAGCCTAGATGTTGAAAAATATGGCAGAGAAAACTGCTGTGCACCGCAGAAGTACACACTATAGATCGCACTACATCGCAATAGTGTATTTTCTCTCACACACGCTCCCGTATCGCTGCTGCTTTGAGTATTTAGATCGCATCTACTGTCCATAGAGCCTTTTCTCAACTTCTTATGTACTATATTATGTGAGCCAGCTGCTCCTAAAAAGAGAAGGTCAGGGGTCAAAGCTTTAGTCTTCAAACAGGCCGCTTTACGCAGCGAAAACACACATTCATGCACGTATTTACCTTTGGTACTGTCACAGCATCACATCTCTCTCGATCCGCATCTGCAAAAAGTGCTAGCTATAAGGCAACAAACTCGCGAGAGAATCACACGAAGCGTCTTCGATCCCCACTATATACACTATGGAAAAATTGCCGACCGTGCAATAAATTTCGCGCATGCGCGCGTCGTCCGCTAAGAGTTAAGTATCCATGCCATAGACCTACTTAGTCCGACTACAAGTATCCATGCCCAAGCCCTACTTATTCCAACTACACTTAACACTATGGGCGCCGCGCGCTACGGGCGCGTAATTGCTCCGGAACGCCACGCGCCACTTTAGTGGCGCAGAATTACGTATTAAGCGTATGGGCGTGGCAATATATATATTTGTTGCAATAAACATAGTGATGAGTGATGCAAGCTAAAATTGGAGTAAAAATAAATAAATAAAAATATAAATAAATCGACAAGTCAAATGATGCCATCGGTTGAAGGGGGTAGAGGCGGGGACCGACGGAGCCATAGTGTGGCGTTTCCACGCCAAAGGGCGACTCCCAGACGGCAGAAAAGGTGTTTTGTGGTCTGAGGCAAGCAGGAAGGGTTCACCCTCTGTCCAAGCGCTTCCCCTATTCTGCGGATGGTAGAAGATGCTCCTGGAGCCCAACCGCCCAAAGTCTCCACCACCACCGGAATGAACTCAATTCCAGCGGCTCGACAAGCTGGTAGGTTGGTCGAGAGCTTGCGTCGGACACATATTTCAAGTGCGTAGCCTCGGGTCACTGCAGCCTCGGCCAAGGTCAGCCGCTGTAGTGGCGAAATGACCGACACGTCCAGGGCTGCCTGCCGGCCCCTGCTCCAGTTAGGAAGCAAAATATCAGCGGGGCGAGCACAGGAATTAGAAACAATTCCGGGAGCTTCTTTTCTCGGGCCAAGGGCAGCAGATTGAGCAGCACTGAAGAGGACATCTCTGATGTTGTTGTGTCGGGAAATTCTGTCTCCATTCCCTCCACAGCCCACCTGATGGTCCCCCATCATGTCTGCCTGGAGCCCGCATTCGGGACATGGATAGTTGCTCCCATAGAGAGGGACCCCCAACCAGTACCTGAGAGAGCAGCGAAACTCCTTGTCATGGATGTGGAGGCCAAGTGGAGCGGAGGGAACCACATTCAGCCAGTCCCCAGCATGTGGAAGACTTGAAGAGTGAGCTAGGGCTCTGGAGCGAGTGTCCGGGGCAGTGGAGAGGAGGTTGTTGAAGATAGCTGATAAATAGGGACATCCACATCGTCAAGATTAGCCCATTCAGGGCGGTTGGCAGCGGAAGCAAGGGCAGCTATGGCTGGGGGAACGTGAGGTGAAGGTCCAGGAGAAAAACCAATGATCCTTTCCACCAATGGCCACACCCGTTGACTGGAGCCCAGGAAGGCTGCGGGGGCGTGGGTAGCAGCGCTCCGCAGGTTGAGCCCCCCCCCCGCTTGCTTGGAAGGGAAGCCTTGAGCCAGGACTACTGTGAGACCGGACCACCAATGATGTGCTCCAGGCATTCACGTACAGCCTGGTCAAAGTTGCTTGCAGCTTGGCAAATGTGGCTAGGCGGACATGCCCGGAGGGCAAAGGCGAACTTAGGGAGCGAGAGACAGGAGCGGAGCAAGGTTGTCTCGAGCTGTGAATCCCCCAGGTCCCCCAACCGGTCAAGGGCAAACTTGATCTTCTCCACTCGACGAAGCAAAGTCTCCTCACAAAAGGAAGGAGGACCCACAGGGCAACCAAGGAAAGTAAAGCCTTGCCGGGTACTGGGATGTCTTGTGGTAGTGGAGATGATGAAGCATCCTCCACCTGAGGGATGAAGAGTAGGGATTTGCCCTATTAAGGTGGAGTCCGACCGCGGGGCCATCCGACTCAATGATGTTGAGAGCTTGCACGAGATCTGCGGCTGAGCCCAAAAGGGTCCCATCGTCGAGGTACCAAGAGTTCAGGGTGAGGTCGGGAACTCCACAATAGGCTGGAGAGTGAGAGCGAACCCAAGTGGACCTAGAGGGTCCCCCTAGGGTTTGTTTTCATTACCCTCGGCGCGCATGCGCAGCGAGGGTACAGTAGTTACCATCGGCGCGCATGCGCAGCGAGGGTACTGTAGTTGGGTTTGTGTGTGTGTCTGTCTGTTACTCTCAATCTCACTTCTCGGCTGTTTGTTCGTCTCACAAAGGATATGACCTACTTAACGGGCAATGAAGGTCAGAAATTTCGAACGGTTTTCTCTGAAACTGCTCCGTTGCAAAGCTAGAGCGAGAAAAAACCAATATGCAAATACACAACGGACGGGATTACCACAGTCGGATTTTTTCCTTTTTTTTTCTCTTTTGCTTTTTTATGCGGAGAAATACTACAAAAATGAATAGCACTGAAGTGCAAACCCTCGGCGTACTGTGACGCGCACGCGTAAGTAAACGCATGCGCCGTACTACTAATTGCTGGGCTGGGTTTAGTTTTAGCTGTTACCCGTGGTCTTTGCCAGCTCGCGCAGAGTCTGACGCGGGCTAACTACACTACTAGATAGCATGCGAGAGGCGATACACGCCCTGCGTTGCATCTTCTGGTGCCTCCGAGGTACGCAGAGCACGCGGATCGATCATGCCGTAGTAAGCCGTTGTGTATTTGCATATTGGCTTTTTCGTGCTTTAGCTTTGCAACGGAGCGTTTTCAGCGAAAACCACACATATTTTCTGACCTTCATTGCCCGTTCAGTAGGTGGTATCCTTTGTGAGACGAACGAACACTCGAGAAGTGAGATGACGAGTAACAGACAGACACACACACACACAGACAGACAGACCCAACTACCGTAACCCTCGCTGCGCATGCGCGCCGAGGGTTAAATAAAACAAATAAAACAAAAACAAAACAAAATGAAAAGCACTGAAGTGCAAACCCTCGGCGCATTGTGACGCGCGCGCGTGAGTAAACGCATGCGCTGTATCACTAATCGATGGGCTGGGTAGTCGTGGTCTCTTGCCAGCTCGCGCCTGACGCGGGCTAACTACACTACTAGATAGCATGCGGGAGGCGATACACGCCCTGCGTTGCATCTTCTAGTGCCTCCGAGGTATATACGCAGAGCACGCGGATCGATCAGACCACGGTAAGCCATCCCGTCCATTGCGTATTTGCATATTGGCTTTTTCGCGCTCTAGCTCTGCAACGGAGCATTTTCAGAGAAAACCCCACATATTTTCTGACCTTCGTCGCCCGTTGGGTAGATGGTATCGTTTCTGGGACGAACAGACATTCGAGAGGTGAGATGTAGAGTAACAGACACACACACACACACACACACCCAACTACAGTACCCTCGCTGCGCATGCGCGCCGAGGGTAACAAACGAAACAACTAACAGATTAAATGATGCTGTCAATAGAAGGGGGGCCAATGGGGAATCGATGGAGCCAAAGAGCGGCATTCCCACGCCAGAGAGAAACAGAGCAGCGCTGGAAGAGGTGACGAATTGAGTCCGCAGGAGAGACTCCTAAACGCTGGCCTAGGAGGCGACCAATTCTGGACAACGAGGTGGTTGTGGCCTCACTCATGCCGCCCAGAGCCTCAAAAGCAAGGGGGATGAAAGAGACCCCAACAGCGCGGCAAGCGGGGGCATGAGCTGACATCTTTCGATGCTCCGCAACAGCGAGGGCATGGCCAGCAGAGGAAGCAGCCCCTTGAAGGGTGAGGGGTTGAAGGGGGGAAATTACGGTCACATCCATAGCAGCTGGTTGACCCCGTTCCCAATTAGGAAGAAGGATGTCAGCAGGGCGGCTCTGTGATCCGGGGATGAGAGAAGGGACCTCCTTTCGCGGAGCCAAAGCAGCGGATCGGGCGGCATGAAAAATGGAATCACATACAGAGTTGTGCCTAAGGATTCTATCACTGTTCCCCCCGCAACCGACCTGGTGGTCACCAAAGGGGTCAGCAGCTGAGTGGCAAACGCCGCATTTCACCCCCTCCTCAAAAATCGGGACCCCAACCAATATTGTAGGCAAACCCGGAACTCACGATCCATGAAGTGAAGGCCGAGGGAAGGCGAAGGAACAGCGTTCAGCCAATCACCAGCATGGGGGAGAGAACACGATTGGGCAAGGGCCAGAGAACGGGTGTCAGGGGCGGAGGAGAGAAGAAGGTCGAAAGATTCCTGGTCAATTTCGTATGAGAGGGAGCGCTGCCGGAGGGGGACATCGATGTCCTGTAGAGAGACCCACTCAGGATGCCCAGCTGCCCGCAGCAAGAGTGGCCAGGCAGGAAGGGAGACTAGCGGGGACAGGAGGAGGGTGGCGGAGAATTTGGGCAACGAGGGGGGTGGAGAGAGCGAGGGATCCAATGAAAGCTGCAGGGGGGGCCTGACGGAGATTAAGGCCACCCAGAGAGACAGGCAGCGACGCTTTCAACCAGCTCCAGTCGGAGATGGGGCCCCCACAGAGGTCTTCCAAGGAGTCCCGCATGATGTTGTCAAAGGCTGCAAGTGCAGGATGAATCAGGTTAGGGGCACAGGTGCGGAGAGTGAAGGAAATTTTGGGGAGGGAGAGGCAGGACCGCAAGAGAGCGGTTTCCATTTGGGCATCTTGGAGGTCCCTCAAATTCACGAGGGTGTCCTGAATTTTGGCAATCCTCTTCATGACTGTGGAGGTGCAGAAGGAGGCAGAGCCTATAGGACAACCCAGAAGCACAAAACCGCCATCGGAGACAGGAACACCCTGGGGAAGAGACGAAGGGGGAGGTGAAGCATCAGGGGGGATGATGAGAAGGGATTTGCTCCGGTTAAGCAGTAGACCACGGGAAGGCCCCTCAGCCTCAAGGATGTCAAGCGCCGCACGGAGATCACTCAGAGGGCCACAGAGAGTCCCGTCATCTAGATACCAGACGTTCATGAGGAGACCTGGAACATCTCAATTGATCTGCTCAAGAATGGGCTGTAGGGCGAGGGGAAATCCCAGCGGGCCCAGTGGGTCACCTTGCTGGACCCCGCAGAAGCTGCAAATAATGTCGTCGCCAAAATGGAGAAGCGGCTGGATGCCATAGCAACATTCAAGCCAGGCTGACATGGAGGGGATACGAGACCGAGCCTCAGCAAACATACACTTCCGATCAACAGAGTTAAAAGCATTGGAGAAGTCAACTAGGAGGAAACAGTGAGAGTCAGGAGGAATGGTACTGTCGTTGATGAGACTAACCACCGAATGGACGACTGCCTCACAGCCTCCAGGGACCGCCACTCCAACTTGGAGGGGGGAAAGAGTAGTGATGGTATCGGCTCGGACTGCCCGGGAAACACACTTGGATGTCAAACGACGAAGAACCTCCCCAACAGCGATGGGACGAAGACCGCCCCCTTCTTTTGGCAGGCCAGGAGTGTTGCCCCGCAGAGATGAGGGAGGATGGACGGGGCAACGCGACCTCTACAGAGAAGGTTAACAACTCCAACCAAGCCCTGTAGAACAAAAGAGGAGCGGTCAGGAGAAGGACAGAACACAGCCTCCTTTAGGTGAGAAGCCCTGAGACAGGAGGGACCGGGAGCTGAACCACTTGGGAAAGATCGAAGGGCCTTAGTGACATCCAGACTGGAGACCTGGACTGGGGGTGGAGCCGGGGATGGAAAAGGGGAGGGAGGAAGGGTGGGAGGGTGCTTGGAACGCATCACATTCAGAGCATCGACGGAGGAGGGGGCAAAACCCGCAGAAGAGAGAGATTGAATGGCTTTCCTGAATTGCCCGTCTTCGACAGCCCTACGAGCACGACGAACGTTAGCTGACCCGGATTGATTCCTGAGAGGCGGGGTCAGACTGGAACTTCTTTAGATGCCGGAGAAGCCGCTCATTCTCCTCCCTGACCTCACACCAGAGGGACAACCACCCCCCAGACCTCCACTTGGCGATACGTGCTTGGACCAGTTTTAATGTAACACGCCAATGCGAACGACCCCCCCTAGGGGGACTGGCGAGGATACATCTAGCCAATAGGAAGAATTTCATCCAAGACCCTTCATCAAGGGGGTCCGAACAGATTGTATGGCACACATCACCAGCCAAGCGTCCCTGGCTCCCTTCGGAACATGGCGGAGGGTAGAGACACGCAGGCTAAAGATGGCGTCCAGAGATAGAGAGGGGAGGTCCCCGTGCGAACGGGGAGAAGGAGCCGGGCGGGAGGGGACCGACGGAGGAGAGGGAGAGGCCAGAGCAGGGGCAGGGCACGAAGGAGGCGCGGCGTCAAAGGCTGGAATAGACGCTGGAGCAGACGCAGGAACAGAAGTGGACACGGGGACAGAAGCGGGGACTGAGGCAGGGACAGGATTTACGCACCGACCAAGCTGGCCGGGGAGACAGCCGGAACGGGACCGGCCTTGTTTCACGCAAGAGCATCTCCCTGAGCGGTTGCAGCGACAGCACCCCATGTTATTCCAACAGCAACAACACAGTCGGATCGATCCGCGTGCTCTGCGTACTTCGGAGGCACCAGAAGATGCGTAAATCGCCTCTCGCATGCTATCTAGCAGTGTAGTTAGCCCGCGTCAGACTCTGCGCGAGCTGGGAAGAGACCACTGACAGCTAAAACTAAACCCAGCCCATCAATTAGTGGTACGGCGCATGCGTTTACTTACGCGTGCGCGTCACAGGCACTTCAGTGCTTTTTATTAACCCTCGGCGCGCATGCGCAGCGAGGGTACTGTAGTTGGGTTTGTCTGTCTGTCTGTTACTCTCAATCTCACTTCTCGAATGTCTGTTCGTCCCAGAAACGATACCATCTACCCAACAGGCGACGAAGGTCAGAACGATCGGACAGTTTTCTCTGAAAACGCTCCGTTGCGAAGCTAGAGCGCTTCCGCCATTGTACGGCTAATGCTAGTCGGCCATTTTATCGCTGCGGAAATTGCGCATGCGCTTATATTTTCAACGGGCTCGGGTCCGCTTGTCTTGAAGGCACGAGAAGTCAGAAGGAAGGGCGTGTATCGACTCCCGCATGCTATCTACTACTGTAGCTAGCCCGTGTCAGACTCTGCGAGCTACTAGCGGGAGACCACGAGTAAAAACGCATACTAATAGCAGCCCAGTCCATCAAATTAGCGGTACCGCGCGCGCACGCCCAGTTCGCCGAGGGTTTGCACTTTAGTGCTTTTCATTAACCCTCGGCGCGCATGCGCAGCGAGGGTTACAGTAGTTACCCTCGGCGCGCATGCGCAGCGAGGGTACTGTAGTTGGGTCTGTCCGTCCGTCCGTCCGTCCGTGTGTCTGTTACTCTCAATCTCTCTTCTCGAGTGTCTGTTCGTCTCGCAAAGGATACGACCTACCTAACGGGCAATGAAGGTCAGAAATTTCGAACAGTTTTCTCTGAAAATGCTCCGTTGCAGAGCTAGAGCGCTTCCGCCATTGTACGGCTAATGCTAGTCGGCCATTTTTATCGCTGCGGAAAATGCGCATGCGCTTATATTTTGAACAGGCTCGGGTCCGCTTGTTCTGTGTCTGTGTATCTTGAAGGGACAAGAAGTCACAACGAAGGGCATGTATCGACTCTCGCATGCTATCTATATACTACTGTAGCTAGCCCGTGTCAGACTCTCTGCGAGCTACTAGCGGGAGACCACGAGTAAACGCATACTAATAGCAGCCCAGCCCATCAATCAGTGGTACCTCGCATGCCCAGTTCGCCGAGGGTTTGCACTTTAGTGCTTTTCATTGGGTCTGTCTCTGTCTGTCTGTCTGTCCGTTACTCTACATCTCACCTCTCGAAAATCTGTTCGTCTCACAAACGATACCACATGCTTAACGGGCAACGAAGGTCAGAACGATCGGACAGTTTTCTCTGAAAACGCTCCGTTGCAAAGCTAGAGCGCGAAAAAGCCAATATGCAAATACACAACGGCTTTATACTACGGCACGATCGATCCGCGTGCTCTGCGTACCTCGGAGGCACTAGAAGATGCAACGCAGGGCGTGTATCGCCTCTCGCATGCTATCTAGTAGTGTAGTTAGCCCGCGTCAGACTCTGCGCTAGCTGGCAAGAGACCGCGAGTAACAGCTAAAACTAAACCCAGCCCATCAATTAGTGGTACGGCGCATGCGTTTAATTACGCCCGCGCGTCACAGTGCGCCGAGGGTTTGCACTTCAGTGCTTTTCATTTCTTCATTTTTGGTTCTTTAAGCCATCCCTATATCCCCCCTTCATTATTTTTTTCCACTTGTTCAATCTCGATGTAGATACCTCCTTTAGTCAGCTCAGGGAAGAAATCAGGGAGGAAATCAGGAAGGGGATAACTGAGACCAGAGATCTCCTGCTAACAGAAATATCCAAACTCGTTAATCCTGGAAACACTGCTACTCACCCAGCTTCCTCCTGCAAGGAGATCCTCCAGCTGGCCCCACAGTCTCCCTCGGCTCTCTACTGGATCAGTGGAACTGACAATGGATCCAGTCAAATGTACTGTGACTTTACTCCCGGCTACACTGCTACTCACCCTGCCTCCTCCTGCAAGGAGATCCTCCAGCTGGCCCCACAGTCTCCCTCGGGTCTCTACTGGATCAGTGGAACTGACAACAAACCCTGTCAAATGTACTGTGACATGGAGAGGAGTTGCAAAGGTGTAGCTGGAGGCTGGATGAGGGTGGCCTCTATTGATATGAATGACACTAACAGTACCTGTCCATCTGGTCTGAGGACCCTCACCAGTCCTCGCAGACTGTGTGCTATGAACATTGATGGTGGTGGATGCTCTTTGGCTATGCTGACAGTGAAGGGAGTAGAGTACTCACAAGTATGTGGCAAGATCATTGGATACCAAAACGGCAGTCCAGATGCTTTCCATCCACACACTGAGACTTCACAAGCAACAGTTGATTCGATCTACGTGGATGGGATAAGTCTCACTCACGGAAGAAGCCCTCGCAAACATATATGGACATTTGCTGTAGCAAGGCATGAGTCCAACACTAATCCTGAGTCGGTATGTCCCTGCACTAATACACGCAACACTCCACCTCCTCCAGTACCTAGCTTTGTGGGAGACGACTACTTCTGTGACTCTGGCAGCGGGAATTCCTACGAGAACATCTTTTATGGAGATGATCCTCTCTGGGATGGGGCTGGATGTGGTCCGTACAGCACCTGCTGTGACTGGAATTCTCCACCATGGTTCAGGAAAGAGATCTCTCCTCCAACCAGTGATGACATTGAGATAAGGCTTTGCACTAACCAAAATTCCATTGATGAAGATATTAACTTTGAAGTACTCGAATTGTACGTGCAGTGAGATAAGTGATAGTGATTACATAGAACTCGATGGACCAAATCATGTAGCTATTTCTATAAACTTTAGTAATGAGTACATTTTGGTTGTTGTTGTTGCTGGAGATATTATTTCTTGCAATATACCCAGGGGATGATCTAGTGGGGTCATTGAAGGCAGCTGACTCCAGTAACAGTTGCTCTAGCTACACGATAAGCCTCCCTGACTCTAGTCAAGTAGTGAGCACACCATACAGGAATATTTCTGTGTGTGGTGCTTGTAACACCCCTCTCCCCCACCTTCTACTGCAACTGCCCCTCCCATCCCAAAAGGCTATCGAAGACGCTCAAGTTCTACATGCACGTCTGTATGTGTGCCACATTCATGCTCGTAGGGGGTCAATGGTTCAATTCCATGGTGGATCTACTCTCCTTTTAAGATCCGATGAGGCTTGATATGCAATGCACACTTATTGTAGGATACCTTTTTATCACTGAAATGGCACCATTCTTGTCACTTAGCTGATCACTGCATGTTTCAACAATGAAGGTGTATACTGCGTAAGCACATCTTGCACATGTTGATAGTGAAGGGCCACATTTCCACATGTTACATTTACTGTTTTTGGTTTGGGTGTACAAAAGTCGGGCCATGTAGTATGACTTCCCTTGCTGTTTATTCCCCTCCAAGACAAAATAGCCCAAAAACACTCCATTCGCTCTGTTATTCAGATCACTATCTACTCATAACCACACATAAGTGTAGATGGATTTATAAGTAATTCTCCATCTCAGTCTCTTCTAGAAAGGATTGGGAAGGAGCTGAATTGGGACAGTAAAAGTTAATAAAAAATCGATGAAGACTTGACTGAATCGAGGTCAGGGTCTTTGAGTTGTGCTTTCGCCATATATATTCCAAAGTGGCACTCCAGGAGAGCATTGACTTCTATGAAAGACAGAAGGTCAGCAATGGGGTTGTCTGCACCTGTCGAGTAAAATCGAGTTGTCAAATTGTTGAGGAGCATTGCATCGAGCGTGAAGTCAGGGCACACATGAGGGGTTTGTGGTCAGCGAACACACAGAACTCGCGTCCTTAGATCGTGCAGTGGCAAATTTGAGAGGTAAGAGCTCTTCCTCGAACCTGCTGTAATGGGATTCAGCTGGTCTTAGCTAGTAAGAGATGGCTACTCTGTTCCAACTCTCTGCTGCAAATCACTCCAACAGCTGCGTCAGAGCTATTACACCATGAATGAAAAAAAGTGCACATAGTTGCAGCAACTAAACTGCACAAAGTAGTACATCCTGTTGTCTGATATCTTGTATAGCGGCCTTTTACAAAAGCAGCTCAAAGGTGACACTGAACAGTCCCTTGAGCCTCTCTTTTTGTAGCCCACTATAAGGTAGGGACTTACAACAGTGGTGTAATATGTTCCTTCTCAATCTGCAAGGCTGCATGAAAGATTCTAGTTAGCTACTCATTCGGCATTGCAACTTCAAACAGCAACTCCTGTTAGGTGTAGCTACTATTTGATGTCTGTGTAGGCAACCTCAAAGGTCACCAGTCGGCAGTAGACCAAAAGTGCAACGTTCTTTGTAGTTAGCTAAACAAAAAGCAGCCTGCATATATCCCGATACACTATGACAGCGTTCAATGAGTGCACTTAGTCTCACCTAGCCTCTTGCATGTGTGTATGCATCTCTCAATACTGTTCATGGGCATACTACGACCAGTATACATGTTAAGAGAGACGCTAGGTTTCATTTTCTCGTCCAGCCTGTGTCAAGTGAATTGTCTTCCAGGTCTTGTTTCTATCCACCCAGTCATTGTTCATTCAATGATGTTGTCCTTATTACAGTCAGTTCACAAAGGAAACACCCAGGAACCCTGTTAGAAATAGTTGAGGCCTAGAACAAAACAACTGCCACCAAGTGAGCCAGATAATAGCGCCAGGCCGGCATTCAGGAAGACTTTGTTCCCAAACTGGGCTCCTGGTTGCTTCTTTCCTCTCTGCAAACTTCAAATCCACCTCCTGGCCTAACAGTATTAGAACAGGTTCTGACGGGACATGACTGGGTGGCTTTTAGTGCATTGAGAGCTATTTTCATACAGATGTTTCGTGGGCGTTGTAATGTAGCTACTTGGTGAACCTACGGAAGGCTGTAGGGGCCATTCATTGTGGATATTTCCTTTCTACAATGAACGATGCCACTCCCTGCTCACTGTCTCCGAACCTCTAGGTTGGTTGACACTGAGCGTCATTCATGTAGTGCATTACGAAAAATACCCTACGGTAGCACATGTGACAAATTTGCAGAGTGGAAGCGTAATCCTTAGAAGAATGGATGTAGCTAGCGTTCGGTAGAATGGATGTTTTTTTCCATTTTAGAATGGAAATTTACAATTGCACTGGGTGTCCCCTATGAACTTCTAACAGAAGTGGGATCTGATTGATTTTTTTTTGAATGTACGGGTATAATGCTGTGGGGACCCTTGTCAATGCACATGCATTGAGATAACAAACGTTTCTTTAAATATTTGAAACCATCCGTGCATGAGACGACAGTCTTCCGGTCTCCGAGGAGCCGACGAATGCATCGTCGTGGCAACGTGAGGCGGGTGTGGCTTGGTAGTCGACAGCCGGGGTACGGCGTCGCTCACGAGCCCGTGAACAAAGACGAGAAGGGCCTGAGGAGTGAGTCCGTCGTTTGAGAGGATTCCGTAGCCAATCTGACGGAGGGGACACTCATGCGCTCCATAAACTTACCACAAAATAATAATAATTATAGGCCGCAACTACGGAGAAGCCCATAAGGGACATCCATTGCAATTGTATATGGAAATTTTCCATTCCACAATACAATGTAGTTCACTCTAAAAACGTTACTTCCCGTTCTATTCAGAATACTTCCATTCTGCAATGCCCCCCTTTGGCACATGCGCTACATAGTAATGCAATGTGTAAATGACGCAACACCTGGCCAACCTCTATATGAGGCCACTAGAAGGGTATGTTAAAAGGAATGTGGCAGTATATTAGGGGTAAATTTAGAAATGTTACTAAAGATAGAACAAAACCATAAGGGCACAGTGAAAGAATGCAATTGAGTTCTTTTTCGAGTAACATTTCAAAATTTAGCCCTTATAATTATACTGCCACATTCCCTTTAAGTAGAGTAAAAGGTCTAACTACTCACCAAGCCCAACACACTATATAGGTTATGGCCAAGAACACTCAGACAAGTTATTGAAGCTACTCTAACTAAGCACATAAAGCTTGAGCATGTCGGCTCAACACAAGCACTGGTATTATCTAGCCAGTTGATGCGTGATACTGTATATGTTTGGTCACATTGTGGCTGTGTACGATTCGTCCTAGATCAGACAAAGATATAGGGATGGTGTCATGTTGGTTTGTGTGTCTTAGCCATGAAATGACCCCTTGTTCTTTCCTTTTGGTGCTTTAAGCCATCCCTATGTATATCCCCCTTCATTTTGAAGAATTGATTTTTCCACTTGTCTACTTGTACAATTGCAATGGATGGCCCTTATGGGTTTCCGTACGCAACTGAGTTAGAAACTAGCTCGCTCTTCCTGCCCACAGAATGTTAAGCATTTCCCCTAGTGTACTAAGTGTAGGCCCTGAGTCAGAACCCTTTCACCCATGTGGCCGTGTGCCAGTTAACTGGACATCAAACTGGCTACTGACCTGAGCAGTATAATATACAGAACACATATGACTACACAGCCCAAGGCAACATACACACACACACCCACAATACTTATCATAGCATGCGTGCAGCATAACCAAGTCACAGTCTACACTGAACCAGACCCTTCGTGTGTGTGTTTGTTTCAGTGCTGTAGCTACCTCTACAGAAGAGGATGTCTTGTGGTTTGATAACTTGTCTGGGTTTCCTGCTGTGTGCCACGTCAGTGGTTGGCAGCACAGAAGGTGAGTAAAAGGAATAGTTAATAACACTGAGAAAATAATTGCAGAAGCTGATGACTCAACAGAGCGTGTGAGTAAGGCAGAGTTTGCTGCTGTGAAGGCAGAGATGGAGGGGAGAATAGACCAGCTACACTCACAGCTACACTACTGGCAGAATGTGACTACCAACACTCTCAATGAACACTGCTCCCCTCTTACTACAGGTAGAGCTAGAAAAACACTGCAATGGATAACTGGTTCAGTATTGCACTTCCACAGGTCCAGCTAGTGAGTGTAGCACTGTGGGGACTGGACACACTGTCCTGGTGTCTAATAATATTCAACGTCACTCAAGACAGTAAGTTAGCAACATAAATTTTTAGGCGCTGATCCAGAAATCTTCAATAAAGGGGGTGGGGGGTTGACTAAGGGTTTGTGTCATGCCGTTAACCATTTATCAAACTAACCATGGGTATTGAATGTAAATGTAATGAGGAGGGGAAGCTAGAGTTGCTATTGTCTGGAAAACTAATTTCCAGCTGCCTATAATAATAATAATAAAAATAATATCCATAGCTACAACCTGAAACAACACTTATTGAGCTTTCTCGGAGTTCTTTAAAATGATGATACATTTCTGATGCATGTGGTCGAGTGTGAGGGAAATATAGTGCATTCTCAAGCCTTTGTCTTTCTAAGCTGTTAGCCATTTCCCCTGGCACTCTCTGGTTCTAGGCATGTGCTTCCAAGTATGTCGGATCTTGCCAGGTTGGAGCTTTGTACCAATTATTACTAGGTATATTACCTGGGACTTTTTGCTGGTTCTGGGCAGTGCTCCAATGACAAACGTACAAGAGGCTTTGTACCTGTACTGCAGCCAAAATGAGAAGCCACACAATGTGGAATGATCATTATAACTACACATCCATTTTACTAAATATGAGGTATTGTTGGTAATCTCCATTCTGACGATGATATAAGCTCTGTCCCCAGGCCTTCCCCGCTCATGTCAAGAGTGAATGCGCCTTTGTCACACATTCAGTCAGTGTCTACACAAGTCAGGCTTTTTATAACACCCCGGGATCTGCCTGGCCAATACATTATGGTGGACATTCCAAACAAATTTTGAAACTGACGTTTATTTGCAGGTTGGTATATAGGTATATTATATGCACCTGTTGTTGATTGTTGTTGTTGCAAAGATGCACAAAGCTACATGACACCATCCCTATATTGTTTTATTACTTATAAGCAAAGTTTAATATTGGACAAAGATATAGGGATGGTGTCATGTAGCTTTGTGCATCTTTGCTGTGTAAGGACCCCTTATTTCTTCCTTTTTGGTGCTTCAAGCCATCCCTATATCCCCCTTCATTATTTTTTTCCACTTGTTCAATCTCGATGTAGATACCTCCTCTAGTCAGCTCAGGGAGGAAATCAGGAAGGGGATAACTGAGACCAGAGATCTCCTGCTAACAGAAATATCCAAACTCGTTAATCCTGGCTACACTCACAGTCACCCTGCCTCCTCCTGCAATGAGATCCTCCAGCTGGCCCCACAGTCTCCCTCGGGTCTCTACTGGATCAGTGGAACTGACAACAGACCCAAACACATGTACTGTGACATGGAGAGGAGCTGCAAACGTGTAGCTGGAGGCTGGATGAGGGTGGCCTCTATCAACATGACTGACACTAGCAGTACCTATCCATCTGGTCTGAGGACCCTCACCAGTCCTCCCAGACTGTGTGCTAGAAACATTAATGGTCCTGGATGCTCCACAGCTGTATTTCCTGTACAGGGAATAAAGTATTCCCAAGTGTGCGGCAAAATCATTGGATTCCAACAAGGCCGTACAGATGCATTTTTTATGACGGTAGTGCAATTAGCGTTGATTCAAACTACGTTGATGGAATCAGTCTAATGCATGGAGACTATCGCAAACACATATGGACTTTGCTTCAGCTCTTCATGAGGATAACTCTCATGTCCGCAGTGTGTGTCCCTGCACTAACACGCGCAACTCTCCACCTCCTTCTGTGCCTGACTTTGTGGGAAACGACTACTTCTGTGACACCGGGAGCAGGAATTTTTACCAAGACATCTTGTACAAGAGTGATCCTCTCTGGGATGGTGCTGGATGTGATGAGCACAGCACCTGCTGTGACTTCAACTCTCCACCATGGTTCAGGAAAGAGATCTCTCCTCCAACCAGTGATGACATCGAGATGAGGCTGTGCACCAATGATTACGACGAAGACGTTAAACTTGAAACACTTGGAAATTTACGTGCAGTGACTTGTCATTGAGATTGTAATAAATTCTGTAGGCTAGTATTATTTTCGCACAGCATATCATACTGTACTTTTGTATGCACTAGCCACTTGCTGTGATCATATAAACATGCTGTACTGCAAACTGCTACATGATGTATAACTCAACATCCTGGAGAGCTTGCATGCGAATGTGTACTCCAGAAAAAGTGTTATGTTTCTAAAAATAATAACGGAGCAGCTAGGAGGTATTTCCAACCTTAAATTAAGCCTTGAGTAATGTGCTAGAAAAAGATTTAACTATATAGTCCGAAGAATCCCTGGGGTAGTGATTGTTTGTGAAAGTCTAATAAATTTGATGAGGAGTCCTCCTATCCAAGTTTTTAAGCAGTAAGATTTTCCATACACTGACATGCATAACATACATGTTTTCAAATAACTTCTGCATAAGGTGACTTGATGAACATGACTCCGATTGCCTTGGTGTCTGTGGTACTGCTGGTCTACAGTACAGCAGTCTGTGCCTGTGAGGAGAATGACCTAGTAGTACTAACTACTGCTAGTCGGCTCAGGGAGGAGATCAGGAGTGAGCTGAACCAAGCTGGAGACTTTCTGCTGACGAAAATCTCCCAATTCTTTATTCCTGGCTACACTCCCAGTCACCCTGCCTGCTCCTGCAAGGAGATCCTCCAGCTGGCCCCACAGTCTCCCTCAGGTCTCTACTGGATCAGTGGAACTGACAACAAACCCTGTCAAATGCACTGTGACATGGAGAGGAGCTGCAAAGGTGTAGCTGGAGGCTGGATGAGGGTGGCCTCTATCGACATGAACGACACTAGCAGTACCTGTCCGTCTGGTCTGAGGACCCTCACCAGTCCTCGCAGACTGTGTGCTAAGAATATTGATGGTGGTAGGTGCTCTTCGGCTATGCTGCCAGTACATGGAATAGAGTACTCTCAAGTATGTGGCAAGATCATTGGATACCAAAAACAGATGCTTTCCATCCACACACTGAGACTTCACCAGCAACAGTTGATAAGTCTCACTCACGGAAGAAGCCCTCGCAAACATAATTATATGGACACTTGCTTTAGCCATCCATGAGAATAGCACTAATCCTGAGTCGGTATGTCCCTGCACTAATACATGCAACATTCCACCTCCTCCAGTACCTAACTTTGTGGGAGACACTACTTCTGCTACACTGGCGGTGACAATGAAGATGGAGATGATCCTCTCTGGGATGTGGTGAGTACAGCACCTGCTGTGACCGGAACTCTCCCCCATGTTTCAGGAAAGAGATCTCTCCTCCAACCAGTGATGACATCAAGATGATGCTTTGCACTAGCCAAAATTCCATTGATGGAGATATTACTTGAATTGTAGCGCAGTGAGATATAATTACATAGAACTCGATGGACCAAATGATGTAGCTATTTCTATGAACTTTAGTAACGAGTAATTTTGGTTGTTGTTGTTGTTGCTGGAGATATTATTGCTTGCAAAATACTCAGGGGAGGATCCAGTGGGGTCATTGAAGGCAGCTGACTCCAGTAACAGTTGCTCTAGCTACAGAAACATGGTATGACTCTAGTTCAGTAGTGAGCACACCCTATAGGGATAACATTTCTGTGTGTGGTGCTTGTGACGCCCCTCTCCCCCACCTTCTACTGCAACTGCCCCTCCCATCCCAAAAGGCTGTCGAAGACGCTCAAGTTCAAGTTGTACACGCACGTCTGTATGTGTGCCACATTCATGCTCGTAGGGGGTCAATGCAGAGGGTTTCAACCATAGAGCAATAATTGGGTGTTGCGAGTGCCTTAAAAAGCATGTGGTCAAAGTACGTTGAAAAGACTTCACTCCTTTCGTGCTATGTGCACCCAGTTTCATGCATGCCAGCCATATCTTTCAATTGACTGTTATAATTCAAACTCTCCGCGAGCTACTACCGGGAGACCACAAGTAAGAGCATGCTAAAAGCCCAGCCCATCAATTAGTGGTACCGCGCATGCGCAGTTCACCGAGGGTTTGAACTTTAGTGCTTTTCAATTATTTATGAATCAAACAAACTATTTGAAGACAATTACGAATTGTTCTATGGATGCAATGAAATTCTTGTTCTGTCTACAACTCCCCCTTCATTTTGAAGAAATGATTTTTCCACTTGTAACCATACATAGGTGTAGATGGATTTATAAGTAACTCTCCATCTCAGCCTCTGCTAGAAACGATATCGGGAAGGAGCTGAATGGGACAGCTTTAATAGAAACAAGTTAATAAAATTTGACGAAGACTTGACTGAATTGAGGTCAAGGTCTTTGAGTTGTGCTTTCACCATTTAAATTCCACAGTGGCACTCCTGGAGAGCGTTGACTTCTATGAAAGACAGAAGGTCAGCAATGGGGCTGTCTGCACCTGTCGAGTAAAATCGAGTTGTAGGATTGTTGAGGAGCGTTGCATCGAGAGTGAAGTCAGGGCACACATGAGGGGTTTGTGGTCAGCGAACACACAGAACTCGCGTCCTTAGACCGTGCAGTGGCAAATTTGAGAGATAAGAGCTCTTCCTCAAACCTGCTGTAATGGAATTCAGCTGGTCTTAGCTAGTAAGAGATGGCCACTCTGTGCCAACTCTCTGCTGCAAAATCACTCCAACAGCTACGTCAGAGCTATTACAACAACAGAAGCGACAGACCAGACCACGCGAACTCCGTGCTTCAACGATTACATCACTAAACTTTTCGATAATAGTGTCTTCTAGTGACCTTCTGTCTGTTTTTGGGTCCGACGAAGTAAAGGCAACAGGCAATGACAAAGAGTGCACATAGTTGCAGCAACTAAACTGCACAATATAGCGGCCTTTTACAAGAGCAGCTCAAAGATGACACTGAACAGTCCTTGAGCCTCTCTTTGTAGTCCACTATAAGGTAGGGACTTATAACAGTGGTGTAATATGTTCCTTCTCAATCTGCAAGGCTGCATGAAAGATTCTAGTTAGCTACTCATTCGGCATCGCAACTTCAAACAGCAACTCCTGTTAGGTGTAGCTACTATTATGTTGATGTCTGTGTAGGCAACCTCAAAGGTCACCAGTTGGCAGTAGACCAAAAGTGCAACGTTCTTTGTAGTTAGCTAAACAAAAAGCAGCCTGCATATATCCCGATATACTATGACAGCGTTCAATGAGTGCACTTAGTCTGACCTAGCCTCTTGCATGTGTGCATGCATCTCTCAATACTGTTCATGGGCATACTACGACCAGTATACATGTTAAGAGAGACGCTAGGTTTCATCTTCTCGTCCAGCCTGTGTCAAGTCAATTGTCTTCCAGGTCTTGTTACTATCCACCCAGTCATTGTTCATTCAATGATGTTGTCCTTATTACAGTCAGTTCACAAAGGAAACACCCAGGAACCCTGTTAGAAAGAGTTGAGGCCTAGAAACAAAACACCTGCCACCAAGTGGGCTAGATAATAGCGCCAGGCCGGCATTCAGGAAGACTTTGTTCCCAAACTGGGCTCCTGGTTGCTTCTTTCCTCTCTGCAAACTTCAAATCCACCTCCTGGCCTAACAGTATTAGAACAGGTTCTGACGGGACATGACTGGGTGGCTTTTAGTGCATTGAGAGCTATTTTCATACAGATGTTTCGTGGGCGTTGCAAAGTAGCTACTTGGTGAACCTACGGAAGGCCGTAGGGGCCATTCATTGTGGATATTTCCTTTCTACAATGAACGACGCCACTTCCTGCTCACTGTCTCCGAACCTCTAGGTTGGTTGACACTGAGTGTAATTCATGCAGCGCATTACGAAAAATACCCTACGGTAGCACATGTGACAAATTTGCAGAGTGGAAGTGTAGTCCTTAGAAGAATAGCGTTCGGTAGAATGGATGTTTTTTTCCATTTTAGAATGGAAATTTACAATTGCACTGGGTGTCCCCTATGAACTTCTAACAGAAGTGGGATCTGATCGATTTTTTTAATGTATGGGTATAATGCTGTGGGGACCCTTGTCAATGCACATGCATTGAGATAACACAAACGTTTCTTTAAATATTTGAAACCATCCGCGCATGCATGCGCTCCATACACTTACCACAAGATAAATAATAATTATAGGCCGCAACTACGGAAGCCCATAAGGGACATCCATTGCAATTGTATATGGAAATTTTCCATTCCACAATACAATTGTAGTTCCCTTCTACAAAACGTTACTTCCATTCTATTTAGAATACTTCCATTCTGCAAATGCCCCCCTTTGGCACATGCACTGCATAGTAATGCAATGTGTAAATTACGCAACCTGGCCAACCTCTATATGAGGCCACTAGAAGGGTTTGGTAAAGGGAATGTGGCAGTATATTAGGGGTAAATTTAGAAATGTTACTAAAGATAGAACAAAACCATAAGGGCACATTGAAAGAATGCAATTTAGTTCTTTTTCAGTAACATTTCTAAATTTAGCCCTTATATACTGCCACATTCCCTTTAAGTAGAGTAAAAGGTCTAACTACTCACACAAGCCCAACACACTATATAGGTTATGGCCAAGAACACTCAGACAAGTTATTGAAGCTACTCTAACTAAGCACATAAAGCTTGAGCATGTCGGCTCAACACAAGCACTGGTATTATCTAGCCAGTTGATGCGTGATACTGTATATGTTTGGTCACATTGTGGCTGTGTACGATTCGTCCTAGATCAGACAAAGATATAGGGATGGTGTCATGTTGGTTTGTGTGTCTTAGCCATGAAATGACCCCTGTTCTTTCCTTTTGGTGCTTTAAGCCATCCCTATTATCCCCCTTCATTTTGAAGAAATGATTTTTCCACTTGTTTACTTGTACAATTGCAATGGATGGCCCTTATGGGTTTCCGTACGCAACTGAGTCAGAAACTAGCTCGCTCTGCCTGCCCACAGAATGTTAAGTATTTCCCCTAGTGTACTAAGTGTACCCTGAGTCAGAACCCTTTCACCCATGTGGCCGTGTGCCAGTTAACTGGACATCAAACTGACTACTGACCTGAGCAGTATAATATACAGAGCACATAATGACTACACAGCCCAAGGCAACATACACACACACACACCCACAATACTTATCATAGCATGCGTGCAGCATAACCAAGTCACAGTCTACACTGAACCAGACCCTTCGTGTGTGTGTTTGTTTCAGTGCTGTAGCTACCTCTACAGAAGAGGATGTCTTGTGGTTTGATAACTTGTCTGGGTTTCCTGCTGTGTGCCACGTCAGTGGTTGGCAGCACAGAAGGTGAGTAAAAGGAAATAGTTAATAACACTGAGAAAATAATTGCAGAAGCTGATGACTCAACAGAGTGTGTGAGTAAGGCTGAGTTTGCTGCTGTGAAGGCAGAGATGGAGAGGAAAATTGACCGGCTACACTCACAGCTACACTACTGGCAGAATGTGACTACCAACACTCTCAATGAACACTGCTCCCCTCTTACTACAGGTAGAGCTAGAAAAACACTGCAATGGATAACTGGTTCAGTATTGCACTTCCACAGGTCCAGCTAGTGAGTGTAGCACTGTGGGGACTGGACAAACTGTCCTGGTGTCTAATAATATTCAACGTCACTCAAGACAGTAAGTTAGCAACATAAATTTTTAGGCGCTGATCCAGAAATCTTCAATAAAGGGGGTGGGGGGTTGACTAAGGGTTTGTGTCATGCCGTTAACCATTTATCAAACTAACCATGGGTATTGAATGTAAATGTAATGTGGAGGGGAAGCTAGAGTTGCTATTGTCTGGGAAACTAATTTCCAGCTGCCTATAATAATAATAATAAAAATAATATCCATAGCTACAACCTGAAACAACACTTATTGAGCTTTCTCGGAGTTCTTTAAAATGATGATACATTTCTGATGATG